ATTCTTCAGCTGCCCAGACATCCATACCAAAAGTCTAAAATATTTAGAGGAAATCACATTTTTTCTCTCTCTTATGTGCATTTAAATTTTCCGTTGTTTCCTTGAACAATGCTTTACATACAACTATATTCTGTTAGCCAATCCTTGAGTATATAAACCTACTCTGTCTATGAAAATGCTATTATATTTTTGATTGAAATCTAGTCATATTTTACAAATAATTTTTCCCCAGCAACTGTGTATTCAGAAAAAATACACAGACTGCATTCCACATGCAATCATGCATGTGCTCCCTTTTTTTTTTTTCCTTTATCTCTAGTGTGTTAGATAACTAAGCAATGTGTGAAACTTACGGCTGTCCAGGCTTCTTTTCTGCATCGAGAACACAACCATTCATTATGGATTTCATGAGAAGGAACACCATAGCAACCTAGAGTAAGAGAGCTGGATTGATTAATATATTCTGCCTTTCTATCTATGATGCCATACAATTCAACTGTGTATATACACTAGTAAAACACACCTCCTGTGACTAAGGAGACTTTTCCAATCTAGGCTTACTGCTAATTCCATAGTCTATCAGATATGTAAATTAGACAAACAAACACTTTTCCCAAAACTCATGCCCCACACCCAAAAAAAACCAAACCAAACCAAAAACCAAACCAACCAAACAAAAAACCCACAAACACCCAAAAAATCAAACCCCAGGGAACTTTCTATTTTCTGCCAGTTCAACAGCATATCAATTGTCTCTCCGGTAAAAATGTACAATTTTAATTAATGCACTGACATTTATTCTATGCAATTATATTGCACTTCCATGTAAGAATTTCACATGGACCTCTTAGAGTTAATTATTTAAGTCCTCCTGCCTGTAGAAGATACTGCAGAAAATCCATGCATTCATCAGTCACTCTTGAAATAAAAAAGAATGCAAGGTGAAGAAAATCACTGCATGCCTAAAGTCAATAGCAATATTCACAAGTCTGCACACATCCAGAGAGTAGTGGTCAACGGCTCAATGTCCAGATGGAGATCGGTGATAATTGCTGTCCCTCGGGGGCGTGTGCTGGGACTAGTACTGTTTAATATCTGCACCAGTGACACAGACAGTGGGATCAAGTGCACCCTCAGCCAGTTTGCAGACAGCACCAAGCTGAGTGGTGCAGTTGACATGCCTGAGGGTCAGGATGCCATACAGAGGGACCTGGACAAGCTCGAAGAATGGGCTGGTGTGAACCTCATGAGGTTCAGACAAGGCCAAGTGGGGGAGATATTACTGCAGCCTTCAAGTACTTAAAGGGGGCCTATAAGAAAGAGGGGACAGACTTTTTAGCAGGGCCTGTTGCAATAGGACAAGGGGTAATGGTTTTAAACTAAAAGAGAGTAGATTCAGAATAGACATAAGGAAGACATTTTTCACAACGTGGGTGGTAAAACACTGGCACAGGTTGCCCAGAGAGGGGGTAGAGGTCCCATCTATGGAAACGTTCAAGGTCAGGTTGGATGGAGCTCTGAGCAACCTGCTGTAGTTCAAGATGTCCCTGCTCATTGCAGGGGGGTTGGACTAGATCATCTTTAAAGGTCCCTTCCAATCCAAAGATTTCTATGATTCTATAAGTCCTCGAGCAGAATTTTCCCTGACTACTTAATAAGGACATACTAACATCACAGAGGGGTTTAAAATATGAGAAGTAAAAGAGGAATTTTACAGCTCAGAATTGAAACAAGAGTCAGAAGTTTGTGATTATTGAAAGTTTACAGAAAAGTTAATTCTTCACTATTTTCACAGCAATCATTAACAAGTAATACAAAATGTAATGTAGTTTTTAAAAAAATTTAGCCAGTGACTCAAGCATTATATATGGAAATGTTCTTCAAGTACTTAAAAGACATACTGAAAGACTAGTTAATTATTACTTATCAATAAAACAAAATTTGAAATTACATTTTTTACAACTGAATAATTAGCTTATTTACTTGCATGAACCCGTACACAACACTTTGCACAGGAAATCAGACGACTTGTTCCATCTTCTTCAATAAAGGCATTTGATAGATAGTTTTCAGTGTTTTCTTCACTATAAATAAAACACATCTCTGGAATAAGAGGCTTAGTCTTTTCATTTTCAGCCATCAATGTTTCTGCTGAATTTGCCTCCCTGAAAGTAGGACTTTCTTCATCATGATTGTCTGGCTGGAAAAAAACCAAGTTTTCTATTTAAGTAAAAGAAAGGAGAGTCTGTCTTACTCTCCCTTTTGGCAATGATGAAATGACTTCTACCCTCCCAGATCTTGCACTAACAATGTAAGAGTTTTATGAGAAAATTAACTGCTTCTAGGTATATATCACAGTCATTCTATAGTTCATTGATTGTTCAAATAACTGTGAAATCCAGAGTAGCACTCAGCCTGCAAACAACTGTTATTGCAGCTGTGTTCAACGATACTGTACCTCTAGCTCCCTTTGAGCCCTTTAACTGGGTCTGGTGCTATAGAAGTTTTCTTCCTAGTTCCCATGCTGAGGAGATTCCAGTTTATCAGCTTCAGAATTAGTAACATAGTACTACAGAAGCATTTTCAGCTGGCATTTGACAAAGGAATTCCACAAGCCAGTACCAAACAGTGCTCTGCATTAGACTGTTTCTATGGGAATATTATTCATGAGAAGGCCTAAGTGCTGTGAAAACACTTAGTTCTTCAATGCTATGGGAAGGAGGAATAGAAAAGGCTCTGATAAAAAGCATTTGAAGATGGACATATAAGGAAATAGCTAAAAAGTACACCTCCAAATGTGAACATCAATCCTACATAAACCCTAGCAGAGGGCATACACTGTCTGCAACCAAGGATAAACATAGGTGCACAGAGCATCAGTTCTAATTTTAGCAACAGTGAGTTAATTTACTTCTCATACAAACCAAATTCATAAGCTAATCTTATTTCTAATTTACTAGACATTAAGTAGCTGGGCAGGTATTTAATATTTCACCCAGAGATGGAGCTGTTACAATCTTGCTTACCTTGTAGTACGGCATGAGAAGGGTGCAAATGGCACAGTGTGGTTCCTTTTTTGCACAAGCTGCATTGTATTCTTTTTCAGCGTTGAAATTGCGTACTCTCGTCTGCCAAAGGTAGACCAGAGGCCTGGCCCATGCCTCTGTCTCTTGAACTTCCTCTTCAGTTAAAGTAGTCTCAGGCAGTTCTTAAAGAGAAAAACAATTAGTTACATTGTAGTCCTGGAATAAGATAAACAACAAAGATTTTGTCATGTGTGCTAACAACGAAGATTAAAAAAATGCTGTAAGAAGTCTGTGTGTGAATACAAATGCAGAAGTCTAAAAGAATTATGCATCGGGACAAACACACAAAAAAGTGCTTTGACGCCTGTCATGAGCTGACTGCTCCACATAGAGCGTAAGAAATTATGTCACTAGCTCTGCTGTTTACAATTTGTATTCATATCCACAACATTAAAACTCATTCTCCCACTCCTTAATTCCTCCAACCTCTACCCACTATCCCTCCATGCACTTTTGCCCTAAATTCCTTCCGGACGGAACATGTTGCAACGTGCCAAGCAGCACCAGACAAATCACTCGGTTCACCCAGAACGGTACCTCTCAACTCTTTATGGAAACCGACACTCAACGTCCAAAGGGAAAAAGAGACAATGTTATAGCCAGGGAGTAATGGCGAACAATCAAATCTAAGATGTAGCTGGACACACACGCAGGACCCCACTATGGGAAATATTATTTGGTAATATCAGTGATCTGTTCTGGATGTTGTAAAAGTTTGTGTTACTTATTAGCAGTGTTTCCGTGCAGGACTGCATAAAGGTGACTTTATGAAATTAAAAGCCTCTAGGGAAAATGGTAAAGAAAATCAGACTGGAATTCAAAGACAAATAGCCTATTCAATAGGAATAATATAAAAATGTAGTAATTTGCTGTTGAGAAAGATGTGGAAAAAGGAAAGCTGTGAAAAGGAAACTGTGTGTAAAACCCTTGCCCCAGTGAAATCAACAGCATAATTATTAATGATCCATTTCTTAACATCAGAATTTTAGCCTAGTTACACATTTGAGCTGGTTGGATACCTCAAGGTATCATCACAGGCAACCTAGTGACTTTGCCATCTATGAAATACACAGATTATGAGGATGGAAATGTCTTTTCATTCTAGAAAGGAAAGCATTGCTGACAGAAGAGGTTAGGTATACTCTTCTGTCCTTATACACTGCTCTGATTAATGATGAGGCCTGTGGTTCTGTTCATTCAAGTGGACAGTGCCTATTAAATATTTCATGATCAATGAGAAGGCATGTAGGTGTCAATTAGGATAATTAAAATAATGTGACTGTAGGAAGGAAAAAGTGGAAAATTATTGAATAGAACTTGCAGATAACAAAAAAGTTCTATAGCATACAGTCCTTTTCTAATGAAGTATTTAAGAAAAATTGTTTATTTCAGAAGAATATTCCAACAACAGAGAAATGTTTAATGAAGTACATTAAGCTGAATCACCACATTGCTTTAGCCCATGACTGCCTTCATCCACTTTACAAAAAAGCAGAGGCTTTATGGGTCTCTTCCTATGATAAATTGTCATGCATTGCTAACAAAAGCACTAAAAATTGACAGCATTTTGAATAAAATATGGATTAAAATATTTGTCTACAAGCAAGCCAAACATAGCAAAAATAAATTAATTAATATATCTTGCATTTGAATTTTAGTCCATCTTTTATAGTTCCTCGAGCTAACTAATATCAATTCAATAAACATTTGCCAATAATCCAGGTAGAAGGACAAATACAAAACCACCAAGTCAATATTCAGCAGCAGAGCTTTATGGTTAATAACATAGCTGTAAAAGAATAGTAGTGAAGAAATAGCTGAACACATGGAAGAGATGAAAATACAAAATACCAGCATCACTTTTATAGCTTTCTGAATTACTTATTTTTTATGTTAAAACCTTAACTAAGCTTTTACTTAAAAACATTCCGTCCAATCATATTTTTTGTATTGCATGCAATTTCCCAGAACTCTAAAATAAATAGCTCTGAAATCTATGCCTCTAGTTCAATTTCTATCTATTTAAATTTTCCCTTACAGAACAGTCTCACAAGTGGTGTCTTCTTTGATAACTTATTTTCTGATTTTTCTCTTTGACACTGTTTTCTTTCAGGAGTTTATACTGCCACATATATAAAATATTTTAATTATAGTTGTGACCTCACAGAGAATTCAAGTCTTGATTGTGCCTGATGAAGGAAACAAAGAACACAAAATTTGTTGTGTAGGTTTGTGAAGCTTTGTAACTTACCCCTTCCATTCCATATCTATTATCCACTTTGAAACTGACACCTTTGATTGCACCACTCCTTATCACTGCTGAATAATTCTCCCGTGAGATTTGAAGTCTTCACCCTGAACCTCAGCTTATTATGCTCCTTTTAGTCAAAATTCTATCTTCGGATTTCCAGTCCTGGAATTAACTCCAGGACGATAGCTCTAGTTCTCTCACATAGTGCTCTGGTTTCCCACTGCCTCTAGCATATTCCTGAGTCCATGACCATATTGTTTCTGCTTTTGATGAGTACAATATTTATATCTTAATTACATATAAACTCCACAATTTCAGTTCACTCTTGTATGATCCTTACAAATCCTTTCCAGACCAAGGGACTGAAAAGAATGCAAGAGCCAGGAATAAAGCTGGCAGCACTCTTACAATATTTTGTTGCTTGCAAAAGTTTTGTATTTATTTTCAAACCCCATTCCAAATGAAGCCATGGACAAAGTGTCATATGCAGATGTACCAGACCACATCTTCCACAATCTCCAAAAACTTTATTTTAATAAATTTACTTCCTCCTTTCCCTCTTTTCTTTTTCCCCTTTTTTTAAAAAACTATGATTAAAGCAACCACTTCCAGTTACTTATTGACTAGAAGCAAACCCTCCTCATTTGCCTCTGATCTCTAACATCTCTAACTATGGATTCTATCTCCTTTGAGGTATGACTGTCAATGCTCCTTACTGCAGTCTCTTAGTCCCTTTGCATGAACTTCAGCACCTAAGCCCACTGCTGCATATTACACCCTGCAATCTCTCACTCTTCGCCACTATAACAAGCCCAGAAGCACAGTCACAAAAGGAGAAATACCTGTCCTCCTTTCAGAGGGAGACTAGCTAACCCATTACTTTTTAAAGGAATGTTACACTAACAGTATACAAAATTAAGAATAGACAGAATGGATGTTCTTAAGGGATATAAGCTTTGTCTCATCCTCTGTTATCACTACTGTATGGCTTGTGAATTTCAGTTCTCTTCAAGAATTTCCTGCACAACCTTGAGCTTAATTTACCATCTTTCAAGGGCTTCAGAAATACTAGCTCATTTCCTTACAATCAACATTCACCCACCCACACACTGAAATCAGAAAATGTGAAAAGAAATTAATATTTTTTAAAAAGTTATAAAGTATGTGACTACCATTACAGAATATGACAACAATACTGCCTTCAACAACTTTCTCACCAGGTAAAATATACAACCTTCTCTTTAAATATTCTACAAGAGTAGAAGTTTCACTTTGTGTGCTTTCTCCAAGGTGTGCCAATATCATTGACAGGAAGAATTTCCAGTCGATTTCCAACTACTTTCTCAGGTAGTACAGGTGGAGTTACCTTCCTGGTTTCCATTAAGTCAGAGAAGTTATATACCATGAATAAAAACTGAGAATCTGGTTATCCAAAATAGGCAAAGAAATAAAAAACAGCTCTCTAAACTGTCTGAGAGAAAGCACAAAGTATATAATCAACTAACGTAACAAATGCTGTTGTCTTAGCACAGTTTAAAGCCTTTCTTCACTTGTCCAGTTGATAATTCCAAATTAGTATTTATGTCCCAAAAAAATAATGAAAAACTTGAGGGCTTTTTAGACTTTTTTTTGCTATCTGTCCAGTACTTCTCACTTCCTTTTATTCTTTTTAATGACTCCCTCCTTTACTTACTACATAACTGAAGAGCAATCAATGACTTAGCCTAAAGTAAATTTACTTTCCTGACTCACATTGGTATGTGTGGTTTCAGGGCAGACATTCAGGTGCCTTATGTTGAGCTCAGTGTGTTTCGATCAGATATGTCTGTTGGAAGTATGGAAGTGCCCAGCACTTTCATCTGCTTCTGTGTAATGGTATAAAGGACACAAGGCGACTGCAACCTCCAATTGCCTCCATTCAAAATCTACCTTAACAAAGGATTCTCAGACTAAGAATGGAGAATAATTTGTGGTGTCCATACTGCCTAAAAAATCTCAGAAGCTCCACTGTCACAAGCAGGCATACTTTCTACTGCAACTACATACCAGTGCTGTTTCCCAATACTCAGGACCTGCAAAAAACATGGTGGAAGTCTCAGTTCCCACAGTGAAAGGGATTCAAACACTGCCCTCCAAAAATCACACATCTATGTTATGCATTTGACTTATGCAATGCTGCCAACCAACAGCACTCTACATGCCATTATTCAGTCAAACCTTCTTTGCAATAAACTGGCCCGGCTCTAAAAGCAGCTACCAGTGGCCCAAGACAAACAATCCAAAAGATTCAGGTCAGCCACTGCAGTGATATGAAACACAATATATGTCTACGGAGAGCATATTCTTTCTACACTTGAAATGGAGCTAGGGAATCTTGATTTCTACGTCTGCTGTAACCTGGATCAAATCATTGATGCTTCCTCACAGTTCATTGCCAGTGAGTGCATAAACAGGACTCTACAGATGTGTAGCAGAATTCCCTGGTGAGAACTGATGTTCCATTTGCTTTTTCCACCTTTTCAGTATAAAACTTACATTACAAATTAAGATTTAATCAAGACAAAAGTGAATAATGAATTCTTGATATACTTTGGTGAAGAAAAGTCAAATCAACTTAACCATAGTACAGGATACATCTTGCTGTCAGAGGGAACAAAAGAAAATATGAGAGTTGAACCTGCTAGGCAAGACAAGGAAATTCAATATACATTTGCAGCTCAATTGACAACACTGTTCAAGAGATTGCAAAGTCTCATGCATAAAACATAGGCACATTGACAAATACTCAACGAACCATCTTTAAAGTCTTCAGTTGATATATTCCTGTTGTTTAATCCCCATCTGAATCATAACACTCTACTTTAGATATAG